TGCGATTATAGACCAACTTTTTTTATAACTATTTTGTTATCTAGTATAACTACGAAATTTTAGTTGAACTCATGATAACGTTTGATTAATAGAATTAAAGGTTTCTCAGTATGGTTGTAAATCTTAGAGTTTAATATATCTGAAAAGTACTAAAACCAAAGAACACATTGCACCAGGAATCTGAAAAATAAATCAAAAGAATGAATAGGACTTGCAAACAACTGGGAAGGTGGGCCTAAGACAGAGTTGATTGAAAAGAATCCTATTCGGTGGTTTATGTTCCGAGAGGGATAACAGGCGAAATTAGTAAGTAATTTAGTAAGTAGGTAAGACCAAAACAACAAGGACCGAGAAACTTAAATTTTTAATCAGTCAATTAGTCATACATAGTGTGTATAAAATCCAGAATATTTTGTAATTACAAAACTACATTGTAAATTATTTCCTTCTTCTGTCTTTTTTAGTTTAAAGCCAATGATCCAGATGAAGGCTTAAACTCTGAAATCAAATATTCTTTAATTGAATCAATTCAAAAGAATCCAGACACTGGAAATGGAAGTTCGTCAACTTGTAAAAATTTAAATCGTAAATCAATAATGGACCCAAATCAATCATGTAATCTATTAGAATACCTTTATTTAAATCAAACTACTGGTAGTTTATTTCTATCAAAGCAATTACCAAATCATTTGTCAAATGTAACATGTCGTCTGTGTGTTGTAGCTTCAGATATGGGCATTTCGTCATTACATTCAACACGTTACTTTTGTTTACATTTAATGGATAACATTGAATCATCACAGTTGGAATGGATATCATCACAGACAAATAATAAATATTCACTGATTTACATATATACTATCACAGGAGCAATTGGTATAAGTTTAATTCTATCCATTGTATTTTTGTGTATAGCATGTACTATATGGAAGTATCCCAAGTTGAAATTGAAATCGAATATTATAAAAGAAACAATGTCTTCTAATGATAATCAAATATCAAAAATTCACTGTGTAGCTGAAAAATTAACTAATAAAGGTAAGTTACTGAACTGATATCGAAATTATTTCATGCTCTATTGTAAATAATCTATTTCGATTAACAATATAAACTCCAGTCCAAAATATACGATATTAAGCTGATGGTAAAGTAACTAACTTTTGATATAAGTAGTCTTCACGTTATTGCTTTCCTAAAAAAAGTTTGTTAGAAAACAAATTTTAACAAATGAAATTATTCAATCGTTATATGCTATAGCAAACCGGATTCTGACTAATCTTGAAAAACTTAGTGTTCAGCTCAAGGAATTATAGTTCTGGTTTTATCTTAAACGGATTTCATAACTGCTATGGTTGAAAATAAACCTGCTTGGTGCTCTCTAAGGTAAAGCAGGGAGTTGAGCATGAAGTCAACAACCGCATCCCGTAAAAAATAAATTTGATGAAGGAGGCATTAACCAGAAGTAATTATTTAACCAATTTATACTCTACCCTGAGAGTTGAAGGGTCTTCATATAGAAGAGATATGATGACTCATGGTGAAATCCAAGACTCTTCAGAATTCGTTAGGTCGACGCCTAATCTCACAACCAGAGCAAAACTTAACATAGGTACATGGGATGTTCTCACAATGTTAGAGACCAAGAGGATCACTCAAGTAGCTTCGTAAATTAAAAGATACAACCTATCGTTGCTCGATATAAGTGAAACCCATTGGACATAAGCTGGACAGAAAGGACTAGATCCGGAAAAAGTGCCGTTGTAATTTGATCTTGAAGAGGAAATCGCCTTGCACACACAAGGAGTTCCATTGATGCTGCCCAAGAAGCACGAAAAGCACTTACAGGATGGAGATCTCATGGATCCATAATGACCAAAGCATCCTTCAAGACGATGAAGGATGTGATTACAACGGATGTCATTCAGTGCTATGCACTCACCAATGATAGCAGTGGAAACGATAAAATTCCGTTTTATATGAGTTCACAGTTCATCCTAAAGTAATACCTAAGAAAGGACCTTATCATCCTGATGAAGACCTGAACCCCAAAGTCGAGACGAACAATACCGAATATGAACGCATTATGGAGAGATATGGACCGAGAAAAACGAGAATGGTGAGAGACCTGCAAACCTGTACACTTGTAACAATACGATTAAAGACCTAAACATTTCCCTTACAAATTTATGCACAAGGAGTTCAGAAAAGAACACGAACTGAATAGAACACACACTGTGTAAACTACTAGATAAAAGGAAAAGACGCGGACCAAAGAACAAATAGTGCCGCAAACTTGACTCAGAGATCAAGATCATGAATAGCACTAAGACTGGGCTGCAAACGAGAGCTCTGAACACAGTTGGCTGGGAACACCAGGCCGGTGCCCTATGCCCTCGCGACGGGTAATAAGTTTAAGTTAGTGTGGTTGAAAATTAGCGAGTAAGAATGACACAATTTTTAATTGCTAACCAGGTTTTAACAGGTCTCCAACTTTCAATCATGAGAACTAAACTCCGGATGAAGCCGTCCGTACATTATATTGACGTTTTTCTGAATAATGAACAAAATTGAGAAAATACCTGGTTGTAAACTAAAAGCCTCACCCTCGTTCATTCAATAGTTTTGTTGCCTGTTTAATGTCGATAGCGTTTTGACTAAATCAGTGTTGTGAGGCAAATCAGAACTACTGTAACTGTCAGTATCCGATGACCATAAACAAATTAGGATTCCGTCAGCTTTGACATCAAGTCGTTTACTCAATAGATCTGTGAGTTAACAATAGGGTTATTACTAGACTCAAGTTGGAAACTGATAAGTCGTGTAGGTTGAACGCTATATACGATTCCTAAGCTATTCCAATAACCCGCAGTCTAGAACTACACAGCGACTTGAACTCCAGAGAGAAGACACAAGAATGAGAGAAGGCACTTTATTCCAAGGTTCATTTTTGTACAGAAAATCATGGGTATTTATAGATTTTGGCGTCTGTTAAATCAACATCATTTTACAGCCAATCCGATAACAACACATTATGTTACCGAACAATAGTAGCACGCCACGCTGGAATTCTAGAACGTTCCGTCACACTCTGATTGGCCAGGACTCTTCGGCTCCTTATGGGCCTCTGGAGGCTCCGTTGAAGTTCTCCGGAAGCCGACCCAACAGAAACAAAAACAAAGCGTGTCTTCTACATGGACGATAACACTAAGGATTTGAAAGACAATAATTATTCAAAGTATTTGGTTGACAAAAGCAAAAGTGACCTGATGGCTTAAACCTTCAATTTACAAAAATTTAGTCACAGGCTAAAAACTTCACTTTGCCAGAGTGTATTCAAAGAAAACGAGCCTGGATATGGTTACTGTGTTGCAGAAACAATTAGTATTGACATAATTCCAACAGTAAAGTAGGTATAGACTTTTTCTCATGAAATTAAAAGGACTAGTACGGAGGCATAACTTTAGCACTTGTGATTGACTACTCACTAATTAAGACACTCGATCGAATGGTTGTGAAAAATTATAACTAACGAAATTTGATGGCAATCAATCAGTGTACTACCTTTTGAAATTTGTAAATGGCTTATCTAACGGTAAAAATTCATAGCACTTTGAAACTAACCAACCACAAGGTTTGCAACGACATCGATAGCAATAAGAAATAAACTTCTACTCATAGGAAGTTACTTTAATTTCAGAAACAAGAACTCCAACCTAGACGAAGGATTTTCAGTAGCATAATTTTCCTGAACCAAAGAGTTCTTGTTGTAGAAAGTAATGATAAATAATCACAGATTGTTTAGTGGCTTTGAATTTTTGACACGCCGACTCAGTACGCTAGTGTTTCATCATTTCAAAATTAATCCGTTGAGATTGATGAATGTTTCATAAAGTACTTATTGGTTCAGTGGCCTTACTCATTTTATGTATAGTATGAAATTAACAATAGATGAGTAGATAAATCATTGCTGATTACATCATGCAGTACTCACCACTTACTTGATTATCATACTTACTAAAGGTTATCGTACTCTCTGAGGGACATAAAGGTTTTCAGCCAAACACCCTCAAATTTGGACGAACTAGCTTATGCCAGTTCGTGAAAATTATAGTGAGATATGAAGACGGTACTAATTACGAAAAACTAATAAAAAAGTATGGAAAACCAATCTTTCGACCAGCTGTTTTAATAGTGTAGAATAACATTTTGCTTTGAAGCACAAACTATTGTCCCGACTTAACAAAGGGTAAAATATTGAGATCAAGAACCGATGTAAGTTAGACAACCTTTAAAAAGTTGTAGGGCACTAAATCACCGTTTTGTTCTAGTATGGGACACCTCAGAAGTGCTTTTCTACGACTGCAGAACTGGGAATCGAATTCAATTAACCTACGAATAAACGAACTGAATTTCAATCAATAAATTCTCCCCTTTCAATAAACTGCTGATTGAAAAAAAGATATGTTAGCCACTTAACTCCATTATTTTCACTAAGCACTGAAATACCCAGCCTCTCATTAGGTATCACTGTATTTTGATAATTAATTGTAGGTTATTGGATTAGATATAGTTGCTCTATTGTTATTATTAATATATTAAACTACCTCTATGCGTTTTACCATTATTTATCCAGAGAAATACAATACCATCATATGTACAGAAAATGAATGGGCTAACATGGGCTTCAACCAAATAACAACTAACCAATCATTGTATTTCGACAGAAATGACTATAATCAATATCTAGTTGAAAACCAATATCCGCGCAATTCCTTGCACGAAATAGTCTTTGAATCACTTCAAACTAATGATAATTATTATAATAACAATCCATCGAAAAAACTACCTAATGAACAGAATATTTATTTAAATCCTAATTACACCTTAACTTATTCATCATTACCTCAAGAATAAAAAGTTTATTACGTGATTCAGCATAGTTATAGAAATAGCAATAAATATTGCATAACCGTACAGGAGAAAAGACAATATTCTTCTTTGAATGTATTTGATGCAATAAACACATGTATATTTATTTACACAATATCAGAAAAAGAATTACTCACTTGTTTGACATCATCATAAAATCCGTTTCACTAAATTGGTTAAACGGTAGACTAATTTAAAATTGAATTGTGAACTTAACTAAAAGACTATATATATTCAGTTATTTGACTCTAGTTCATTATATGATAAACAAAAGAATCATGTTTAAAATCTATTATTTACAGCATAATACATATATGACATTATTGTACAGTTTTCAAAATGAACTTCATTCCTGAATTAACTACTCTTGAAAATAGCTACATATAAAAGAAATATTGAGAAAATTATATTTTTATTACAATTTTGAATAAAAAGTTGAACAAGAAAATGGAATATACTGTATGTAGTCTATCTTTTACGGCTTAAAATGAGACTATGATCAAGTCGAAGTTTACAACTTAATGATGCTAAGTAATCTTTCAAAATGCTGACGAATAACCAAAGCAAACAAATACTTTAGATGTATGATATTACAATTGTTTGTACCCAACTAGTATTATTGAATGACGCTTTTCTGTAGATGTAAGATGTCCAGAGTAATAAAACTTTCGATGCTATGTTGGATGTTGACTGGTAGTGAACGGTCTGTTAATATAATCAGTTTCTACGACGATCAATGCAATGAAGTGGTGGCTTGTTAGTTAGTGCTCGCTTTACAGATACTAGATAGGTTGGAACTCCGTTCTACTCAGTACAGTTCGCGTGACCAGATAACATCATTTTTCTATTTAAAATTGACCAGTATCCGGATTGTAATCTTTAAAAGCGATAAACCAGTGGTTTAATAATAAACTAATTGTTTCCAGTTGACTTTACAACTAAGTAACGACAATTACTTGAAATAAGAAGTTTCAAATATAACTGATTTACACTACATCTAACTACTTTACTCAGTGCTGTGCTCAGTGATGATTTAGATAATATCTAATGAGAAAATTTGAGAAACATACTAATTGTCACCTTCATAAAAGATATAGAAATGCCTTTGACTTGCACATAGGAAAGGTTTCCTTTGACATGATCCAAATAATCACTGAATATGGGTAATGGTAGATGGGATGGTCCAACACTAATACAGAAGGATTGGGACACTAATCAATATTTTCTTTAAGTCTAATATGTTTATGAAACTGAAATTCATAACACAATGAAATACCAGACCGTGCGGTAGGTTTTGAAGACTACAAATACTACACGGTTACCTAAATCTCAAATGTAGATAAAAAGGAATTTAAATGTGCTAATAAACAGTAAAACGTCGAGTACATAAATCATCCATCTACATATACATTGTCAAATCTGTGGATTCAGTAAACACTCAAGAGAAAAGCAATGTCTCAACAGCAATAAACAACAAGTTCGTTGCTGAAAGCTTTTACTGGCCATATATACAGTTGATAAATTTAATTCCTTTAAAGTATCCTTCATTAATAGTTCATAAACAAGAGACAACAATTCACATATTTACGTATCAAGTATGCATGATTGGTTCATCATAAAATATTCAATCACTTCAAAATATTGGAAGAAGTATATTTATTCACAAGTTATATAAATGAATTGTTGATTAAAGAATCAATTACAATATGATAATAACAAAAGCGTATAGCCATTACTGACTGAATCCATATATTTCTTGACGAACACGATTGGCCGTAAGACCAGTTGGACTGTCTAACATTTCTCGTTGAATTTTCTTACGACTATACCACAATGGTAAATTAGTTCGGGCTTGATAATCAAAATCGAATACATCAGGTTCAATCTGACAAATACGATGATATACAGAGCATAAATCTCGAAATTCTGACATTGTCAACTGTAAATTAATTGTTTGAAGGAAATAAAAATAGAACATTTATTTAGGATATGATTCATGTGTAACACCATTTGTATAAACTCAGTTAGGATTTTCGTGTCTTTATGATAAATTACTGTAGAGATGGAATATGGTTTCAAATCGAAACCTCAGAGTTGAAAGTCATTCCACCAAAACAATGACCCATAGCTCCAAGTTGCTAGAAACACTAAAAACCTTTAACCCATAGGTAATTTAGTGAATAATGTGCTATATGCACTGAAATCGAAACTTCTCCGTAACCCTCTAACTATGACTAGTACAATAACGTGATATAGTTGTTAAATCCGTACTATCAAATCATAAATAAAAACATGATGGTACAATAATATTATTTTATATTCTGAAAACTAAATACACATTAGACCCTCAAGTAACTTACTCAAGGAATGCACAAGACTACATTTCTATAGACTATACATCATCGAAATTGTGGTGTATATTGAAATGACCGATTATTCATCACCAGAAAAATCATTATAGTTTTAGGAGTTATCGCTAAGAGGAGCAATTGTGAAAGTTCAGAGGAACTAGGCATAACATAAGAAATTAAGCTGAAACTGCTCATTACTGATGTTGATTTCAGGAAAACTCACTACAAGGCTCCATAACTTGACATACTATCATCAAAGTAACACAGAACTTTCATTAATCGTTTATGTGGTAAGTGATATCGAATATATATATAATTCGTGAAAGTTGAATGTCAGTAAAGTTCACAAAAAGAAATCGACTGGTCGCCTAGAGGTTTGAGCAAAAATAAGAGGATTGATTGCTGAATATATTATTATAATTATGACCATCGCTGGCAACTTTATGAACAAAAGGTATTGAAAATAAACCGGTAATAATTGGTAGATCATTCCAGAAGCAGAGGTTAGAGAGCATCTTTCTTGCCGTAATCGAGATAGGTTTTGATAGTATGGGATGACAAATATAAGCCACCTAAGACCCAAGGATATGTATACACAAACTACATGAAATAAAAGAACTACCAAACTAACCTGTATACACTGTTTGGCTGGTTGCACACCGGCTTCTTTGAATAACTGAATAACCAGTTCAGGTCTATTAGAAGGGAACAATGTTTCAAGACATCGAACTATTTGCTTTTGTCTACATGGAAAATAAGTGTTTTGAAATTGAAATTACTACCTAATCTATAATAATAATATAATATAATATATTATAGGCTTAACTAGTATTCATCCTCATTCTGACTAATAGAGTGAAGTTGGTTAGAAAATACATACTTCACTCTATTAAGTAGTGATATACATAATGTAATTGACAACAATTTTCGAAGTATTCATCCTACGAACCTTTCTCAACAACAAGAATAATACGTTAAACTTGATATTCTAATTACTTTTATTTTTCTTAAGAAACTAAACATGCATTTAATAAATATATATTACGAAGTACTTAAGATGGACAGTGTACGTATTACGATCAGACAAGAAAACGAGTAGTTATTTTATGGTGTAACTATAAACAGAACAACAGGAACAATAACTTTTGCTCACAGTACTCTATACGTCATTTCCACTATATTGTGCACTAGTGACGCTATGACTGGATGGAAAAGGTAGAGAAATGATCAGTCTATGAAATGGTGCGCTGGAGTTAAAGACAAATGTAATCGAAAAAAATTGTTAGCTTAGTGTTTATTTGAAGATGATAATTCGCAGCTGTGTATAGTTATACTTCGTAAATGGGTTACAATAGATCAATCAAATAAGAAACCGTGAGAAGTTCGGAAAAAAATTACAATTTATTGCATCTGATCAAAGAAATTATAGTGGCTGAAAGTAGTGAAATTCAATGCTGATAAATACCGGCACCGCAGGGAATAGACATAACGATCACTTATCTCTGAGTTTTAATTTCTTTCGGTAAACACTTTAACAACAGATTATATTACATTGTAATTAGTAAACGTGTACAGAAAAGTTGGATTACTATATATGCACCATTACTCCGGAAGAACAAACTTCAATAAACTGTAACATAACAAGGAAATATGTGATCCTTACCTAAAGTGAAATGCTTGACGTACCAATTTTTCAACATACGGGTACGGTACAGGAATAAGCGGTTGTTTTAAAGGAATTAGACGAACAACACCAACATCTACTTTTGGTGGAGGAACAAAAGCAGTACCTGGAATATCCTTCATGTATTTAACCTATTACATTTCAAAGATTAAAAATGAACATATTATAATACATGAAAACAATGCAAATTTGAACCATCAAACAAAAAAGGCCAGTCTTACTTTGGGGATAATTAATAAAACTGTCCTGAAAATAAGAAACTACGAACGGTAAATCAAATAACTATAACCATAGAACTGCACAAAAACAATGAAGTATATGACTAAACAACGTTCTATATGTTTTTATTTCAGACTATTGAGTCCTACTGAGTTATAAGTAGTGACATCACTTGATTGTTCAAAATCTCAGTATGAAGGAATAAGGTTAAAGCTTGTTACCAAACCAATTGAAAGTCAAGTGTCCAGATAAATCACTATATACACACTAGGCAGCACTCACGCAATCTAGTCGTTAACCGAACACAATTTCACAACACATCAAAAAAATTACAGGCGAAAAATGAATTCATACTAACACTCAATAATCACCAAACACTTATCTGTCAGCTTTAGGATTATTACACATTAGATATCTTTGATTTCTTTGGATATAACTAATGACGGAACAAGATTAGGACAAAAACAGTAGACGAAAACCTTTATGTAAATAAAATCCTTACGTCGCAGTATGCTTGTGACATGACAGATAAGCGGGAACGCTGTTCATCCCATACATCCGCAGCAAGTCGTTCAGCAACTTCTTTTTGAAAAGTCAATGTCAAAGGGACTCGTCCATATCGCCAAATTCCTCGTCGCTCAGCAATATCATGAAGCCATTGAGAAATCAAAGGAGTAGAAATATTGAATGGTAAGTTTCCAATCACACACAAGCGTGGTGAACTTATTTTTTCTAGCGAAGTTTCATTTCGATTTATTGATGTAGATTCTAATAAATTTGAGTTTGCTACCTCAGGTGACTCCTCCCATGCTCCTGCACCAGTCATAGAACTGATGGGAAAAATACCTTCACAATTAAATTTTAGGATATCCTGCAAATCATATATACAAGACAAAGTTCGAAAATAATTACATTATCAAACGGTAGAGATAAAATGTTGAACAAAAAATTATGATATTTTTCTGCTAAGCAGTCCAAAACAAGCATTGTCCTAGCATTAACTGATTCACCGAGAACTAAAAACACTAACCCTAGTAGACAGTAATGTAAAAACACATGTACCTCCATTGACCTTAATTATTTAGTTAACTGGCAGGAAGAAGTAAACATCGCCGATATATATATATATATATATATATATATATCAATTTACGGGTAAGAAAGCTGTACACATCAGAAAAGGTAAAATCATCATATTCCAATCCTAGAGCTTTCGGTAGAATAATTTCGAAGACTAGATTTCCATACAAATTCTAAAAAAACTAGTTATTTTACGAGCAAATGCTAAATAGGGGTAAATAACAGACAAGTAACTGTAAAACGTCCACCTACGAATTGGAATATTTTCAGGAGATAGAATCCTCGAACATTACTGTTAATAAATATTTCAAGAAGATTTCAGTATGGTAATAAAATATTCTAATACCGATAAACTAATTTTTCACACAAACTGAAAGGCTATTTATTTTGTGAAGTATAAAAATTAAGTTTGGAAATCAACTCAATTCGTTAAAAGAACCACAATCAACGGGATGCGTGAATACTTCTAAGATGCTTCAAAATTTTGGTTATAAAGAAAATTGCAAAGAAATACGCGATTACACAGTGATAAATGAATTCAACTATACCGATAAAATTCACTTTATAAAAGTGTTTTGTCGCATGAGTTCGGACAAGAAATATTGGTGTAAATGATTGGTTTCACGGCATAAATTTCATTAACTAGTAATTCTAGATAAAATAATAACAAGCATTTAATTCTACGATTTGAAAGAACATGAAATTATGATCACAATAGACTTTCTACATTTGAAGATATAAACTAGTATTTTACTTTATATATTCTAGAAAATAGAGAATCCCATAAAGGTGTGTAGGTTTACGTAGTTGCACTTTATAAGGGAAAATGAAAGTAAACGAAAATGGAAAGATATTGAAAACAAACATGAAGTAAGAACTATAAGCAAATGAATTGATAAAACTTTTAAAACCAACAACAAGAAAACGAATGCATGTGTGGTATTGCGACTGATTATGAACTGTATCATCTAAGACTATTATGACAGTTTGCTCCGATAAGGGTAGGAGTAAAAAGGCACATATCAATAAGGGGGAGTTAAAAATACAGCGAATCAATGCCATTTATACAAAAACTGACTAAGTACAGAAAATCAAGAAAGATAATCAAAAGATTCATAAACATTATGTAAATGTTACATTTTCTTGTTTTTATAATGACACAGTTTAACGTCCAGATATACGAATACACATTATGTGCTATTTCGTGTTAATAGTCTAGGATTGATCTGTTTACATGATCTCTTAGGACCTGTTTAATAGGCATTGATATGTCCCTGTACTTCCTTCATACATGTTACTACCGGGTCCCGAGAACGAGTTGTTCGACTTTCTATTCACTTAACTTGTGTTCCTCATTTTACAGCATTAATGAATTCCCATTTGTTTCGATGAGCAGTGTCAATGAGTTTATTAAATCCTCTATGCTAACCTTCGACAGTCCTGTTCGTTTCATGACCTATAACGGAACTGTAAACGATTCACCGTATAATTCAAAACACTGGGTCGTTGCGACATACGCATCTTGTTAATCTCCCGATCCAAGTGTCTTCAAAATAATTTTTCAAAACTTCGACTTCTTCAATTTTTGCATAGAATAGTGACTCCGTTAGACTGTCAAGTGCCATTATGACATCTGCTAGCAGTACGAAAGCTAATGTACCCGAATAACGAGCCTGTAAATTAAAATTTCTATCTGCCGCATAACATTGTTGATAGTTTGTTGATCGCTGTAGTCTTCCCCATGTACAGTGGACTTAGATGGAAAAAGCAACCTTGCTGTACTGTACTTGGATATCCCGATAGAAATGTTGGTAAAGCTGTGTTTGTAATCAGTAATGAATGTTGATGAATTTAACCACGGGTTCAAACTGTCCAATATGTTGAAGGTGCGCATATACGAATTCGTACTTGTCGTTCACTAGAATATTAACCAAATGAACAATTATGTTGAACTTTATAACATGAATCGTCTAGATCTGATTAAACACAGGGGGTAAGGTTTTGAATATTCCTTCGGCATACCAACTTAACGCAATTTACCCAGCATACTTGAGATTCTACAGAAATATTTATATATTGAGCACATCTAAATGCAACATCATAATTTCAAGCAATGAATGCACTTTAAAGTGTGTTCCAATCGACACTCGCTTGTGTGGTATCCGATTGAATGGTATTGTGATAGTCCATGGTAAACAAGTGGGTTACTCACTGTAGGGAACAATTTCCTACAGGTTTAATTCTGAGCTATTCTCTAGACCGTCGAATACAGAATCTTGGTTTGGCCAAAGTCAGAACAAGCAAGCTGTTTGGCTAGATAAACTTTATCTGTTTCTAAAACATAAATTAACATCGTTAGTGTACAAACAAACTGTACGGTCTATTAATACGGGGAAAAAACAGACAAATAACATACCGAACAGTAGCCAGAGAATAGGAAAAATGAGTCAACAAGCAAATATTGTTTTACAATGAACATCAAACTGTGATTGGTTGATAAAGAGATACAGTAGTACAAGGTCAAAGGGAGTTAATGTGGTGGTGGGCGTTTCCCTTTATTATTGGTGAGTTCGTCTATCGATCACATTTTACACTCACTTCACCTATAATGGACAATCAGGGTGTTGGATTCAGAGCAACAACTAAAAATAGTGGACCACTCGAAAAAATTTGTCAATCCCAGTATGAGGTGCGTGCGAAAATTGGGATCAGCCCGTCAATCACAGCGCAGAACGTGGTACGTACGTACGTTAATTCAAGTTACGATACCCCACTAGCACAGACAGATGGAATCGTCAGGCTGAATCCCAGAATAGTAGTAGTAACAGAATTAGTTGTAGCAGAAAAGATTAGGTATCGAATATGCCAATCGATAGGAATATATATTAGTGAAATAAAGACAAAAAAAGTTGAGAGACTTTAGAATTTCAGAACATAGAGGAAGACAAAGAACGGATATACCTGCGCCATTGCAAACGATCTCGAGCAATGTCATTCAAAGTCTCTAACCATTGGTTATGATAGACACGCAGACCCTAACCAGGTAGTTTATACCCAATAACAAGGCCAAGTCAGATTGTCAGCGACTTCATGGACTGATGCTATGTTTTGGTTTGGCCACCCGTAGCTTTCTTCCAGCTTACTCCTGCAACAGAAAACATAGCACGTTAAGATACGTAGCAGATGTCCAAATACCTCAGTTGATGAAGATTTACTACCTCATCAGTCAATTTCCTATCCTTACCTAGTACTCTGTTCCTAACCCAATCATTGCTGACTTCGTGATCCCAAAATACACGAGCAATGCATCCAAGATACCTATGACCGAATACCAGTAATTTATGGATGTCCCCTGTTCTTAGTGGCCGTATTTCACATTCACAAAGTGAAACGGAGCGAACTGGTGTGCAGTAAACTCGTCCTTTGGTTGGGACGGAGATTTAGCCAGTAGTGTTCCAGTAGAGAGCCTATACAACGTTAACGTATTTCTTTGGTAGGCCTTTCATTGACAAACACTGCCACAGAACCTCACAGTAAACGGAGTTAGACGCCGCCTTCAGGTTAAAAAATACAATTGTAGTCGGATGTCGAAAAGTATGTCTATGTTCCAGAACCTACAGGGGTGTGATTTTTGGTCTATACATCCACATCCAGGTCTAAAACGAGCATGATCTTCTTGAACTTGGTCCTCATGAGCTGAAGTTGGACGTCTAAGTATTATGAAGGTTGATATTTCAAACACACTTGGTGAAACTAATTCCTTTGTGAATTTTTCTCCTTTCTTATAGACTGGGACGATCGGTGATTGAGACCAATCAGATGGGATTACATCTCGTTTTGAAATTTTAGCCAACATTTTAGCTAATCTAACTGACAAAGCTGAACCACCATACTTAAAATTTTCAGGGATTAGTCCATCAGGCCCGGGTGCTCTGCCTCGTTCTAGATTGCTTATAGCCTTTCCAACCCCACCAAGATTCGCAAGACTTACATCAGTTTGGCATTCAGGTTGCTTGGAAATAATGGGTAATTGAAGTGTGGTTGAAAGATGGTTGAACTGCTCCCTGATGTGAACATTTATCAGTTTTATAGACGCCGTTGAAATCCACCGATTTCCCTTGACCTTTTGATTTATCACTGCTGTTTCCACAGCTTCTTGGATACCATGACAAGCTACCTTAGGATGGATATCGCTTTCATCGCTGATTAACTCCTATAGTTGTTCCTGAAATATATTCTTAACTTTTTCATTATTAAGTTGAACTCTAAAGGGTTTACTTGGTGTGGCTTTTCTACGTCCAGTAAGATTCAAACAAATACGTCCTTGAACTAGAGAATGATCCGAGTCTAAACATGTGCTCCACAATGAGCGATAGTCATCTATCGAACCCCTTCAACGATCACCAATGGCAGTGTGATCTATTTGAGTCCATCGACGAGTCGATTGTGGGGGTCGCCACAACAAACGATGTTTCTCCTTATGTCAAAAGTTAGTGTTTACCAGAAATAGAAGATTATCTGAGCATGGTTGCGACAGACGATCACCATTATCTGTTCTCTGAGCCGCAACACTGTAAGATCTGCCTAGGTCCATTTAAATTTGGTTTAGTTTGCCTACATGAGCATTAAAATCGCCTTTCATTATTACTACATCAGAGCGTTCGGCTTTTAGGAGGTTCGATAACTTCCTATGAAATTCATCTTTAACTTCGTCCGAGTTCCAATCAATGGGAGCGTAGACAGAGACAACGAAAAGGCAAGAGCATGTGTCCCTATATTTTCGAGTTTCTACTGTTCTGTTTGATCGAACAGCGCAAAAGCGAGTCTAACAAACCCTATTCTACTTCAAAACTTAGTGATATACATATACCAGAGAGACCACGGGAAGTGTCAGTGGAGTCTCCATGTACTCAAAGAGTAAATCGTGCCGCCTCTTTATATTAACAAGGTCAGGTCAAGTGAATGACTACTTGGATCCTGTATGCGCGTTTAAGAGATGTAGCAAATATCGATAGCGCGAGATTCTAGAGTCCTGGCTAAATAAGCCTATTTTCCTATTTAAAACAATGTTCGAAGCATGGTCTCAGGAGACCAGGGATAATATATCGTGGACTCAAATCATCAGCATTGGTGAAGCGTCGTGATAAAGATATGCGAGACAGGTTAGTCAAAGGAATGGAAGAATTGTTAAGAGGTAAGGGAGGGATTTGATCGTCAGAAAGATGATGTCGGGTGCTGACAGAGTTGTATTGAATTGGCATATTTGGGTCTCTCATGATCTTATTAATGGTCACAGGGATTATGCATTTTAGTGCCTTAAGACATTATCAAACATGATTCACAACCAAAACCTCAAAGGCAAACCCAATGGTTTTTTCCCTAATGTAGACATTAGGATGTACTTTAAAATTTTCATTATCTTGATTTATACGCCAACCAATTAGTTTACTTCCTAATAATGCGTCTTCACTGGATTTTCGTTCCGTTTTGCCTAATGCATTATTTAGTGAAAACATCTATGTATTGAAGTGGTACATATACGTTGGTGTAGGAGGTATCAGTTGGATATCTATTGTTAAACATGTAGAACGAAGTGAGAATAAGTGACGAAAGTTTGGAAGCATAATAACTAAAAACTAGAATAATGACAATCACCTGCATATATCGAGCAATAAAGATACCTGTCTGTATATATCCATTTGGATCCCCATTTCAAAAGCAGCAAGCCGTAATTCCTGAAGACCAGGAATAAATCTTCTATCTAGTTCCACGACGGCAACATAACGTGGAGCTTTCTGAAGAATCGCCCGAGTAATCCCGCCAGGACCTGGACCAACTTCAAGAACATATGCACCACGAAGGTTCCCTGCACATTTGACTAGTCCATTTATAGATGATGATTGTAAAAGAAAGTTTTGAGATAACTGTTTCTGAGCTCGAATACCATAAACATGGATGATTTCACGGAGAGATGGAAGAGGGGGGAGGTGAATGGACTGAAGCAAAAAAATTGATCAGAGGATACAAAAACAAGTGGCAATTATTGTAACAAATATAAATGTAACAAAGATAGATTAATAGCTATATATGACGTTGACTTTTAGTCGATGTTATTATTATTATTTCAACACATAAATATTGGTACAAGAGGGCACCAAATATATGTGCGCCACACCATATTTGTGTGTGTGGACTGTGATACTGCCCGGGTGCCCAGACCGAAGCAGGAAAATAATACTATCCAATCAGTGAAGCCTTACAAAGATAGATCATTTACGGAAATTGTCGGCTTTAATATTAAACCTAATCATGGAATGACAGCTTTATGGAAACTAAGTGATCTTGTACATGTTTTTGGTTCTAAACCCTGAGTCACATTAAATACATAGCACCCTCCTCCAGTACAACTTGGACGAAGAAACTGATTGTACGCTTTTATTTGATTCTCGTGATGCTTTTACTATCTCGTATGCACCACAGTTACTATGGAACAACGAGGTGGGAAAACATATATACAACTTTCCAATTACCTCAGTCCTATTCAATTAACCGGAACAGTTACCTTATTTGTAACTATATGCCCAACATTAATAAACAATGTTCGATTAGGTTCGGCTTCCCTACTTACGAGTAATAAAAGTGATCGGGGACCTGCCGTGTTAAATCAAGCAACCGAAGTTGAAGTCCTGAGATTATATGTACACTACTTCCCTTCAAGAAATACATCTGGATATAACTGGAACTTGAAATAATAAAGTTACACATTAAAATTTAAATACGACGAAGCCCCTTATAATCACTTTTCTTAATAATACGATGATTAGAGCTTAAAAAGATTGATATTAGCTCCCTCCTACTATCCACCGAGTCAAATCTTACAAAACATAATAGGTGTACATAAGTATTTCAAAAAACAGTATTCTGAGTACGCATTACTAACTCCAGTTACTTCTAAGTCCTCCTACTTCAAATTCTCAATTTCAGACACCACAGTGTCGAGTTAGTAAAGATATTTAAATCGCATTTGAACCCCAACACAAATTCCGGATGCCTTTAATTTAATCATATAACAAAATCACAGTCCCAAAAACCCACTGCTATTTAAATAAGTCAATAAGTTCCTTGAACCGTAAGAATTCATTATGAACTCAACGAACGACTTCTCAGTAAAAATTATTGACTTCATTATTTCACTTAGACGGCTTGTCTTACAAAATCTAATAAAGCAAGAGCGATATAAGTTGCAGAATGTGATAGATTCACTGGATCTTGCTGTTTTCCCTTCACACCATACGAGTTAATAAATTCGTTTACTTCGAACTATGAGCATTATTTGAGATTCAGATAAATTATTTGTCCAACAATAGAGAATAAGCTGTACAAGATGGAGATCTAAATGTAGTTAAGAATCACATTTTAACAGGCTTTTATAAGTTCATGTAAAGATAATCGTAGAACATTTCGACGTAATCTTCACCATGTAATGACAATAACTTCTCTTAGTTCAATAGCATGAAAACAAATTAGAACAGGACATCAGGTCAGTGCAGTGAATCCACTCAAAAAATCAACAAACAGCCCTAATCTACGGTATTGAGGTTCGCTGAGGCCATACCAACTGCGAAGCTTAAAACTGAACATTAGAAGTCAGTGGTTCGCCTTCACCTGTCTTGACAACCAAGGTTTTTCTACCATTTTACTTATTCTTTATTTTACGATTAATTGTAATCATGATCTAATGAGTTCAGCCAACACATCTCTTCCTGAACATAGTAGAATTTCGTTAGACCACATGGTGAAGATTACCTCAAAATATCCTAGAATTATCTGTACATGAACTTATAAAAGCCTGTTAAAATGTAATTCTAAACTACATTTAGATCTCCATCTTGTACAGCTTATTCTCTATGGTTGGACGATTAATTTATCTGAATCTCAATTAATGCTCATAGTTCGAAGTAACCAAACTTATTAACTCGTATGATGTAAAGGAGAAAACAGCCAGACCCAAGTTCTGCTTGCTATTTTGATATGTGCGCCACGACCTTGTAGTAGTTACTTCTCAGACTTAAAGATGCTGGTGTTATACCATATGCACGAAAAATCGTTATATATTTCACAAATTTTTATCTTCCCTTTATGGAGTAAAACCCGTACTCTTGTTGATGTTCTTATATTATTTGATAGCTCCAAAATTCGTCTAATACCCGATTTATTCAGTTTCGGTTTTGAAAGGACAGAAGGTTTGTTGGCCTGTGTTAGTCTTGAAAATGATGGTCTCTCAGTTGATTCAACTTTCTTTTAAAAGAGTCGACAGACGGAGCTTCAATCAAGTAATTTGTTCTACTATATCGGTAAATAAATCCCCAAAATAAATAGCTCTGTATGTTTTTGACATTGGATGCTGAACATATTAGTTTTAATGGACTCACCTAACTGAAGGCGCTCCGTCATCTATCCACACCAGATCACAAGTGGGAACGCCGTGCTGAACGACCCCTGCAATCGCTACCCAAATTAGATCAGACGATCCTCGATATATTGATAGCCTATAAAATATATCTTCGAACCCCCTCGCTTCTGTTTTTTGATTTCACTTGGTGGGTACGATTCATATTAGAAGGTGTTACTGCTCAGAGCGTTGTCAAACTTCGAATACCTGTGTCATCCTCGCTGATGAGCCCGACATCCAAGCTGTGCTTGTCTTGTTTCACAACAACGCCTTAGACGAGCTGGCTGCATCTGCCGACCGCATTTTAGAAATTATTAAATCTTCTAATACCGAGTCTTTCGGTCTAAGAAAAGCCTCAGACGACCCAGAATGACATTACAGAGTTGTGTCAAACAATTACGCGTTATCTTAAGTATCGTAACGACCGTAAACTGTCACATACCCCTCGAAGAAGCACTTCACGTACTCGACCTGTCTCTAGACCACGAGAAACTGATAACCACGACTGGTGCTGGTATCATAACCAGTATGGAATGTCTTCCAGAAATTGCAGAAAACCCTGCAGTTTTCCTAACTCAAAACCGACCGACACGAAAACCAACTCCAGAAACTTCCAAGCTGGCACGCGTCAACGGCAACGTAGACGGCGAACATAGCCGTCTGTTGTGCGTCACAGATGTGACAACGAGAGTTCGCTACCTCGTCGATACTGGAGCAGGCGTTGGCGTTCTCCAAGCGAATTCTAACGACCGGCTTCACGAATCAGTTCTAAATCTACAGGCGGTAAACGGAAAGCCTATTGCTACGTATGGCAAAAGGTACGTTTACCTTAACGTGGGTTTACACAAACCCATCCACTGGATCTTCGTTGTTGCAGATGTTTCTATGCCAATCATTAGTATGGATTTTCTACAACACAATAATGTACTCATCGATACGCGCAAATGGAGGCTAGTAGACGGAAACACTAATTTATCCGTTTGCGTAACTTCTTTTTCTGGTTGCAGATTATCTCCAGTCACAGTTAAGCACACGATAGACCCAGTACATCAACCACTACTTGACAGGTATTCTGGGATATACCAAACGCAACCGAAATTGCCGTGTGTAACCAGCAACGTTACACATCACATCACGACTACAGGACCACCTGCATTCTCTAAAGCACGACGACTAGCCCTCGAAAAGCTGGGGTTGGCGAAAAACGAATTTGACCATATGGTAGATTAAAGTATCATACGACCGTCAAATAGCCCATATGCATCTCCGTTGCACATGATCCCTAAAAAGGACAGCAACGATTGGCGTCCAACTGGTGTCCATCGGCGATTGAACGCGAAAACCATTCCTGATCGTTACCCGTTGCCGCACATTCACGATTTGACAGCTACCTTAAAAGGTACAACTATCTTTTCGAAAAAACACTTGGTTAAAGCGTATAACCAAATCACTGTGGCTACTGACGATATTCCGAAAACAACTACCATAACTCCCTTCGGACTCTACGAATTTTTGCGAATGCTTTTCGGTCTAAGAAACGCTGCACAAACCCTCCAAAGGTTCATAGACGATGTCTTTCGAGGTCTTAACTTCGTACATGCGTATGTTGACGACTATGTAATAGAAGTCCGGGCAGAGAATCGCATCTCCAGCATCTGGATCTTGTTTTCGAACGACTACAAAATCATGGCATTGCTGTAAACATTCGGAAATGCCAAATCGGAACTGACTCATTAGACTTCCTAGGACACACTATTTATGCTCAAGGCATTCGACCTCTTAGAACCAAAATGGCAACCATTCTGGATTACCCAGAACCAACCACCATCAAGCTACTACGCACGTTGTGGGAATGCGAAATCCATCCATTTGGTCGACACCGCACGAAAAGCATTCTCTACAATTAAGGAATTTATCGCTCAAACAACAATGCTTGCTCATCAGGACACTGAAGCACCCATTAATATCGCAGTAGATGGATTGGACTCAGCAATCGGAGGAGTCTTACAATAATGGGTTAACAACTCCTGGCAACCTTTTTGCATTTTTCTCTAGACGGTTGCTAGACACCGAATCGAGGTACAGCACATTCGGTAGGGAACTCCTAGCTATGTATTGTGCTGTACGACATTTTTAACACTACATCGAAGGTCGTGAATTCACTCTTTTCACTGACCATAAACCGCTTACCTTCCCTTTAAGCTCTTCTTCAGACAAGTACTCACCTCGCGAGTCTCGACAACTAGACTACATTTCGCAGTTTACTTCAGATATCCAACACATTTCTGGAGCAAACAATGTAGTCGCAGACGCCTTGTCTTGAATAACTTCCTTGAACAGTTTCCAAGGAATCGACCTTCTTAAACTCGCCCAGCGTCAAAAAGAAGACACTGATCTTCAGCATGAGTTATCGTCTACAACCCTCAAGCTACGCATCAAACGGATGGAAACAGGTAAGGCAACCTTACTTTGTGACACATCTACAAGTAGGGATCGCCCAATCGTGTCGAAACATTATCAACGCAAAGTCATCAATACGTTGCACAAACTTTCTCATCTAGATGTTCGTGCAACCATTAAGCTTATAGCAGAACGGTTTTGCTGGCCTGGTATGAAAAAAGACGTGAGGGAGTGGGCACGCTCCTGTATAAGTTGCAAAAATGCTAAGGTTAGCAGACACAACAAGTGTCCCTTAGGCTCTTTCAAAACTCCTGATGCTTGTTTCGACCATATTCATCTGGATTTGGTCGGACCTTTACCAGATTCAAATGGATAATCTTAACTCAACCTGCGTAAACCGTTTCACTCGATGTCCAGAAGCAGTACCCATCAAGGACATCAATAATAATAATTTATTCTCAAATAACAGTTTGTTACATGAGGCATGCCAGTTTACAGGCAAGACCAAATTGTTACAAATCATACAATATCCACTGTATTAAATTACTCAGCTGGGTTGATAATTTATAAGATATGAATGTATATGGTTTTAGTCAGTATCACAGTCGGTGCGCTTCATGAGAGTTGCGTTGCGAATGTGCAACTGATGTTCAAGGATAAATCCATTGAAGGTAGGAGCTTCTAAAAGTCGCAACCTTATGTCCCTTTGGAACATTTAAGGCTTTGAGGATGGTTCAGGATGAAATCACACGTTCCATATCACAAGGGGCTGAAAGAGGGGACAAGTAAAGGAAAGGACGAGAGGCAGAGTAGCCAACATTCATGAAGGAATGTTTAAGGTATGATTACTCGGTCTGATTTTCTTTTGTTAAGGTATTTGTTAAGAAAAAGCTTTTTAATAGGTTAAAGAAAATAAGTGTCAACAAGGTATGAGTGGACATACAACTGACAAATGGAGGCGATTCAGAAAAGAGCTGAGAGTATGGGATTATGTGTGGTTATAAAATATAGTTCTAAAAACAGTATTGTGATATACAATTGGCTATCTTCCTTTTTTGTCGAAGTTATTGGAGCCCTTTTCATTTTCTTGTATTATTATTTTTTTTACGTATAATAGGCTCTTCAGTAGGCTTCGTATATTAGCGAATTGTCTAGTTTGCTTGTAATAGGATTACTCGGTGGGAAGTAGAACCAATTCAACGTTCTAAACGCGATTTAATGAGGTACGTTGCATGATAAGTCAGCATTAATACCTTAAGTTCGTAACATCTCACTAAACCATAAGGAGCCGTAATTAAACAAAATGTTCTACCCTACAGACATGGGTGGATTAAAGTTATCTCCCCACCATCATGTTTGCTGGTCAGTAACGCCACCCTTCCTCCTTTTGTGATGTTAGGTTCTCTTACGTTTGTGGTAAGTATGAATACTGCTTTAATCAAAGTCCATGGTTGGAATACACTGTCTCTACTAGTTCCATATTACAAGCAAATCAGATAGTTTAAGAATTTTTATTATGGGTTAGATGTCCATTTAGTATATCACACTGCTACGAAGATAACTAATGGTTTAAAGGAAGTAAGGACTAATAGCAAATCAAAGGGTACAAAAGAGTATATAATTGTAAAAAACATTTTTAGGATAACAAAAATAAAACATTGAGCAACTCTCAAGACTATGTGATCAATTTTTTAGGTTTGTATGATCGGCCTTAGTAGATCAGCATCCATAAGATTAGTGAGTTATCTGTCTACTTGCAATAGAAAGAAAAAAGGCATGACACTTTGGAAGAATAATGTATATTTAACATTGAGAGAGATTCGGGAACTGAAAGTGAGGGTTAGGAGCATAGGGCCATGATTAATAAACAATTAATAATAGAGGGGATAAGCCATATGTTCTGTAATTCAGTTATATTTGTTACGGGAGAACTGAAGACTTTTGACGGATTAAAACCTTCTATTGTACATTAATAATTTACTGTGCTTTTGGATGTAATTGTTTTACTTAACTTTTGAACTTGTTTGTTTATATCATTATTTCGGACATTTTGGTTTGGTATTTTGGTGCTCCTTTTGTCTTTGGTTTGGTATTTGGGAGTTTTGCTCCGGCAACCTACAAATTGAAGGTTTGTTTTGTAATTGTTATAATTATTGTTATTAGAACGACATTTGGTCGATTACTTGTGAATTACGAAT